AGAGAGAGAGAGAGAGAGAGAGAGAGATTAAATAATTGATTAATTATCAAGTTGGTAAATTTTATACAATGATAAATCTTTATACCGCGTAGCTATAGATGACCAGTATAAATTACCTTTAATAAGCCAAATCATGTCAATAACATATCTATCTAACAAGGGGATTTTGTGAACTTTCAAATTATCACCATACTTAATGATCATGCTCATTGCCTTATCAATTAATGTCACAATTTAATCAGCCGCTGTTTGAGCGTTACAATTGTCGCAATGCATTATGATATAAATGAGCGTAAATTTGCCCTGGTGCTGCAATATTTCCTTCTTTGCTGAGAAAATATCATTGGAATAGTAGAAGTGTTTAGTACACCAGTCGTTAAATAGTCTCCAATCATCACTGTTGACAACATCAGGATAATTAGCAGGGTCAAACTTTAAATAACCAAAAATAAACATTTGCATGACATCGTAGCCAATGTCGATGACCCTATGTTAAAATATTTACATAAACTTTCTTACTCCAAAAATCAGGTGATAAAATTTATTATATTAAATGAACCATTTATCTCTGCTATCATATGATGTATTGTTTCACATTATAGCAGTCACTTGAGAGCAGAGTTAACTGGTACATTTTGTATAATTTTTACAGAGATTACTGATAAACAGATACTTTACCTTATTTTATGGTATTCATCGAGAGTTTGAATATCATTACCCTGCTTAATTTGTTTTGTCGTATAATTTAAATCAAGATACTTCATATACCAATTGTTATGTACTTGGATTAATTTCGGAGTGAGCACCTTGTTCATCATACCAATTAAAACATTAAAAAAACTTATCCGGGTACCCCGATTCATTTGAGTAGCCTTGGTTGATAACTACTCTCCATTTTCTAAAGTTTAAAATGATTATCATTATTATTGAATAATATACAAACCCCATAAATACATACTCAATAAAATGAGCCTGATAAGTAGTTTGCTTATCTAGAAAATCATCCAGGAACAACGCCCATGCATTCCACGCGCTAATTACCATTAACTCATCTTGGTTAGTTATATTAGGGAACGACAGGGTCACTCCATTCGACATTTCCTGTATATCCTTATAAGGCTTTCCCATACACTCACTGATAATGGTCTCCAACATTGCCTTAGCGTTGGGCACATGTATGTTATGCTCAGTTACCTCGACATTAAGACCACGGACTTCGAAATCTATAATCTTATCATTCATATCGTCTCTCTGTACAATATTATCGTTATTATCTTTTACCATGGTTGATGATAACTATAATGTTAATTTGTAAATTATTTTTATTGTAAATTTTATTTGATTTGAACGTTTTAATAGAAAAACTGCAATTGAGTAGATTTAATTAAATATATTTCTTTTTATATAACGATTTGTTGCGTATATACAGTATAAATAGAGTATTATATAATAATAATTCTGTAATAATATTGATTAGGTAATATATATAATCATCTTATAACATTTTTTAAACACTATCAATTAATTATAACAATTAAAATATGCTCTAGAAATCGTAGTAATAATACTGGTAATAAAATTTTGTTATCACCACAATATTCTAAAATGTGTTGACTGACCCCTAATTGTTACTTGATATACTGGTACATGAAACCAATAACATGTTTATTTTATTGCAGTACGGTCATAAAATTGTAATTGCCTCCAAACTTCATTTATTTTATTACAAATTAATTTGTTTTTATGTTAATTATTAATATATGATATATACTGTAAAATTTTAAATAATCAATAACCAATAGTTTTAATAAGTTAAATTCACTTCTAATTAAGGTTGATTCATAATTTTTTATTTTAATAATTTAGTAATGCCATGTAGAAATTCAAGGTGCATACTTACTATTAATTTAAATTGAAAAATAATTTTTAGATATATTTTATTTGATTAACTAAACAAGTAGCAGGTTAATATAAAATTTAAACTTGTTTAAAATATCTATAGCCTAGAGGTTTTCTACAATTAATACAAAATAATTAAAAGTAAATTTTTTAAAAGTTAAACTATTAAAGTAAACTTGTAAAACTCGATTTATATGATGTTGGCGTCAGTCTAGTTAATGTAATTATAGTACATTTAGTTACAAGGTTAATGTGTCAAATTTATTTTTATAAACCATCTGCATTATGTACTTCATATAAAATTGCGAAAATATTTAAACTTAAATTTTTTAAAACATTTGTCTGATTTCACATTTTTAAAATTTTACTATAAATACTTGTGAAAACATATTTTTAGATTTTATTTCTCACATCAATTCAAACATGACTTATGAAAAGGAAATTAAAGAATTTTGCGAAACATTCAATAATATATTGGCGGCTATTGTGCCGACACAACCACCCGAGGAGTTGTCAGACATGTATTTATGGCTCAAAGAATGCATTCTATATAACGTCCCGCACGGCAAACGCACCCGAGGGCTGGCAGTTGCGGCAACATATAGCTTANATTTTATACAATGATAAATCTTTATACCGCGTAGCTATAGATGACCAGTATAAATTACCTTTAATAAGCCAAATCATGTCAATAACATATCTATCTAACAAGGGGATTTTGTGAACTTTCAAATTATCACCATACTTAATGATCATGCTCATTGCCTTATCAATTAATGTCACAATTTAATCAGCCGCTGTTTGAGCGTTACAATTGTCGCAATGCATTATGATATAAATGAGCGTAAATTTGCCCTGGTGCTGCAATATTTCCTTCTTTGCTGAGAAAATATCATTGGAATAGTAGAAGTGTTTAGTACACCAGTCGTTAAATAGTCTCCAATCATCACTGTTGACAACATCAGGATAATTAGCAGGGTCAAACTTTAAATAACCAAAAATAAACATTTGCATGACATCGTAGCCAATGTCGATGACCCTATGTTAAAATATTTACATAAACTTTCTTACTCCAAAAATCAGGTGATAAAATTTATTATATTAAATGAACCATTTATCTCTGCTATCATATGATGTATTGTTTCACATTATAGCAGTCACTTGAGAGCAGAGTTAACTGGTACATTTTGTATAATTTTTACAGAGATTACTGATAAACAGATACTTTACCTTATTTTATGGTATTCATCGAGAGTTTGAATATCATTACCCTGCTTAATTTGTTTTGTCGTATAATTTAAATCAAGATACTTCATATACCAATTGTTATGTACTTGGATTAATTTCGGAGTGAGCACCTTGTTCATCATACCAATTAAAACATTAAAAAAACTTATCCGGGTACCCCGATTCATTTGAGTAGCCTTGGTTGATAACTACTCTCCATTTTCTAAAGTTTAAAATGATTATCATTATTATTGAATAATATACAAACCCCATAAATACATACTCAATAAAATGAGCCTGATAAGTAGTTTGCTTATCTAGAAAATCATCCAGGAACAACGCCCATGCATTCCACGCGCTAATTACCATTAACTCATCTTGGTTAGTTATATTAGGGAACGACAGGGTCACTCCATTCGACATTTCCTGTATATCCTTATAAGGCTTTCCCATACACTCACTGATAATGGTCTCCAACATTGCCTTAGCGTTGGGCACATGTATGTTATGCTCAGTTACCTCGACATTAAGACCACGGACTTCGAAATCTATAATCTTATCATTCATATCGTCTCTCTGTACAATATTATCGTTATTATCTTTTACCATGGTTGATGATAACTATAATGTTAATTTGTAAATTATTTTTATTGTAAATTTTATTTGATTTGAACGTTTTAATAGAAAAACTGCAATTGAGTAGATTTAATTAAATATATTTCTTTTTATATAACGATTTGTTGCGTATATACAGTATAAATAGAGTATTATATAATAATAATTCTGTAATAATATTGATTAGGTAATATATATAATCATCTTATAACATTTTTTAAACACTATCAATTAATTATAACAATTAAAATATGCTCTAGAAATCGTAGTAATAATACTGGTAATAAAATTTTGTTATCACCACAATATTCTAAAATGTGTTGACTGACCCCTAATTGTTACTTGATATACTGGTACATGAAACCAATAACATGTTTATTTTATTGCAGTACGGTCATAAAATTGTAATTGCCTCCAAACTTCATTTATTTTATTACAAATTAATTTGTTTTTATGTTAATTATTAATATATGATATATACTGTAAAATTTTAAATAATCAATAACCAATAGTTTTAATAAGTTAAATTCACTTCTAATTAAGGTTGATTCATAATTTTTTATTTTAATAATTTAGTAATGCCATGTAGAAATTCAAGGTGCATACTTACTATTAATTTAAATTGAAAAATAATTTTTAGATATATTTTATTTGATTAACTAAACAAGTAGCAGGTTAATATAAAATTTAAACTTGTTTAAAATATCTATAGCCTAGAGGTTTTCTACAATTAATACAAAATAATTAAAAGTAAATTTTTTAAAAGTTAAACTATTAAAGTAAACTTGTAAAACTCGATTTATATGATGTTGGCGTCAGTCTAGTTAATGTAATTATAGTACATTTAGTTACAAGGTTAATGTGTCAAATTTATTTTTATAAACCATCTGCATTATGTACTTCATATAAAATTGCGAAAATATTTAAACTTAAATTTTTTAAAACATTTGTCTGATTTCACATTTTTAAAATTTTACTATAAATACTTGTGAAAACATATTTTTAGATTTTATTTCTCACATCAATTCAAACATGACTTATGAAAAGGAAATTAAAGAATTTTGCGAAACATTCAATAATATATTGGCGGCTATTGTGCCGACACAACCACCCGAGGAGTTGTCAGACATGTATTTATGGCTCAAAGAATGCATTCTATATAACGTCCCGCACGGCAAACGCACCCGAGGGCTGGCAGTTGCGGCAACATATAGCTTAATTTTAGAGCAACAAGGTAAAACCCCATCATACACTGACA